CTGCCTTGATTTGTGCTGAGAAGCCAGCAGTTTTGCTCACCATTACTTTTGCCCCATTAGTTCAAATGTGAACACAGTGAAAATGGAAAATAATGTCTTGATATTATTATAAAAATAGTCCTCTCCACAATTCTATGGACCACCTTTTGGAACTATTGTCCTAGAGCTTTGGGATCAGATGGCAGGACTACCTTTAGGAATGGAAAAGTTCCCAGCAGAGTAGAAGCTAGCAATTTTGCTGCTGGGGAAACTGCATAAAATGTGTCCTCCAATCAGCTATGTAATTCACAGTGTGACTTGAGAATGAGTTTCTGTTTTTACAGGGATCATATGATTTACTGGGAATTATGAAACCTACATTTATTTAATTTAACATAAGTAAACAACCACCACACTAAATGCATGGAGCAAAACACAAAAATGTTATCAGTCAACAAAATTCCAGTTAGAATCATTTGTTTCTTTAAACACAGCTGTAAGTATCTTTAGGCTTCTTAAAGTGTTTTCACTGCTGGGGGCTTCTGAAGGGATGGGTGTAGTTAATAAGGCTTATTACCCATTCCTTCATTTATTCATTCCTGGTGCTGGGAATTCAGGGTCGAACAGACAGACAAGGTCCTTGCCCACCTGGTGCTTACAGTCAAGTGAGGGAGCATTCAATAATCACATAAATACCAGTATGATTACAACTGTGCTAGATTTACGAAGTACAGGGAGCTTTGAAGTGAAGGAGCAGCAGCTGGCCTAGCCCTGGAGCCAGCGAAGACTTCCCTGCAGAAGTGAAATTCGGCTGAGGTCTGAATCTCATGAGTTGGACTGGCCAGGTGAAACCTCATGAGTTGGAATGGCCAGGTGAAGTTGGGGTGTGGGTAGGGAAGAGCATTCAAGGCACCAGGATGGGTATTACAGAAGCTCCTAGGCGGGAAATGTCTGGACAGGTTTGAAGACCTGCCCAGGAAGTCCATTCTGGCTGAGCCTGCTGGGAAGGTGACACAAGATGAGGGTGGAGTGTCAGCTGGAGGTCAGGCCCAAGGCCATCTGGTAGCCTTCTTTCAGTTTCTGGAAACTACCAAGCTCTTTTCTGCCTCAGTCCTGGACCCAGGCAGATGTCTCTGCCTGGAATGTTCCCTTGTTCCTCCTTCAGTCCTCAACTGAAATGTTACATCTTTTCTAAGTAGATCTCCTTTGGCTCTCTATATTAACACCCCATTTTCTTTGTATAGCAACTGTGTTTGTTAAAATTGTTTTTGTCCATCTCCCCCATGAGGCCGTAAGTAAGATCCCTGAGGGCAGGCTCCCTTCGGTCAGTGTTCAGAGTCCACCCTGTATATCCTGTGCTTGGCAGTGTACCTGCCATGCCGTTGGTGCTCAGAAATATTTGTTGGATGAATATGTGAAAGAACAAATGAACACAGAGCTGGATTTGAGATCCTAGCTCCATTTCTCGATAGCTGTGTGACTTTATACAAGTCACATAACCACCCTGCACTTAGTTTCCTGTTCTATAAAATGAGGATTATATTTCCTATCTCAAAGGATATTTGTGAGACTCAAATGAGGTAGTGCTTGTGGGAGCACCTAGCAGAGTGCCTGGCTCCAAAAGAGGTGCTCTAAGTGCTAATTGCCTTCCTTGCTTGTCACTCCCAATTCTGTGCTCTTATCAATATATTATGATTTATAATGAGCCTCTGGCCTCATTTAACCCAAGATGAGTTTTTGACCCTCTTCCTCCCCCCCTCCCGACCCCCTGCTGCTTCCCTGAATCTTGCCCACTGCAATACAAACATCAGAGGGGCTTCTGGGAGCTTTTGAGATCAGGAACAGGAGGGGAGGGAGAAACTGGTTCAGGTGGAGAGTGTGGATAGTGTGTAGATCTGTTGAATATGGACCAGACCTTGGGTAGGGGGAATATGTATGGCTTTTTTTTTTTTTAAAGATGACCGGTAAGGGGATCTCAACCCTTGACTTGGTGGTGTCAGC